GTTGAAGTATGTAGACTTCTTAATGACTGGATTGGTTTTATGCTTTCCTAACCGCTGACACATGATGAAATCTCTGCTCTGCAGCCCTGAGTAAACACCAGTTTCCATCACAGAGGACTCCGTACCACCTCTGCGTGACTCAGCCCCAGGCCAGCATAGAAGACCCTGCCCTACTTCTAGCTCTGATTTACTTTTTCTGGAGCAGTTTCATCACTGCTCAAAAAACAGCTCTTTTCAAAGTTCCATTAAGCCCACCAAGACACAGGCCCATGGGGTGCTCCTTCTGCTATAACTCTCAGTACCAGGGAGGGCAGGCTGCCAGCAGTAGAATCTCCACAGATTTCTGAAGAGCTGGTCAAATATAACTTGACATCTACACTCATCCCCTAGAACTGGCAATGGCCTTGATTCCTAGGGAGACCCTGTTATGCAGCGCACTGACCGCCAGATCATGGCTAACAGATGATGACCACATCATTGCCCAAACCGAAAGCATACAGAAAACAAAGGTCAAATCTTAGCCTGAACAATTTCCACCCCTATTTAATAACTTTTTAAAAAGGACAGATTTATACCTTTGAGCTATTGCCCAACTCTGTTCCTGTATCTGACAGTCTGTATACTCTCCCTCCTCAACCACTCTCTCTCCAACCTCAGCCCCCGCAAACATTTCTCTACCACTCCCACCCTAACTGCTCCCAATTTAATGTAGTGTAATTCCAAACAGCCAATGCAACCATGCTGTGATATTGGGCCACAGGGCAGTTTCACTGGGGAAATGAGCCAGCAGTCAGATTCACTTAGAAGCTGCTCTTCAACTGCCTGATGGATAGTTCAACCTTGGGCAGGGACTGACTCACAGGTAGAGTGACCTGCCTACTCCAGTAGAATGGTTGTCAGAGTCAGTCTCAGGATAACATACTTATTATGAAATGAAAGGAAAATATTTATCATGCTAGTAAATTTGTAAGACTGGACTTGAATTTCCTAAAGGTATATTCACTTTTCTTGTCGTAATCCATCCCCGTATTTAAAAATAATAATGTCAATTATTATTAAAATCTGGCATGTGATTCTACAGCTTAATACACAAAAGTAGAAAATTCAGCAATGTTAAAGCCGTCATACAGTAGTTACTTCACATCAACCAGGTGAAGTGAGGCTTATAGGTTTCTGGTGAACCCATGACTCTTAATATGGAAACACCCAGAAATTGACATACTGCTCTTTGGCCTACCTTATTCTGATTTTGGGCAGAGAAATAAACAACTTGATTATGAAAATAAAGGTAATCCACAGATCCAGAAATGCTTATCTCAATGATTTTTTTATTATCCTCTAAAATAAGGCATTGAAAAATATTTTTGAGAAGTCTGGGCTCATTGAGAATATATTAGTAATATTTAGATAAACCTGCTATACTTGTTGCTGCAGAAAAAGGTAAGAGCTATGTATGTTCCTCCTAGGACTTGGAGATTTCCATAACATGTCAGGTTGACCTCCACTCTTGGTTGGCTATGCTAAAGAATCTTTTTTGTAATTATCAGTTACAGACTTTAATTAAAAGGCAGCATATGTTGAACATTTAAAAGATTATATAAAATAGCATTCCTGCTTTCTGATGCGCAATTATGCTTTCATCATCTATAAAACATCATAATAATAAAAATCAGAAAGAGAAAATGACTTTTGTGAAAAGTAGGTAAAACCCAGCTAAAAACCTAACAGGAAATAAATAAAATTCCCAGCAGAGTTTTAAAAATGGGAATTGAGAATCTGATTCTAAGACTTACATGAGATGCAAAGGGCCAAAAAAGCCAAGGCATTGTTAAAGAAGAATTAAACAAGATAAATTACTCTGTAGATACAAAAACTTAATATAAAGCCACATAAATTAAGGTAGTAATATTGAAACAAGAATAGAAAATAGGCCAATGGAAAAGATCACAGGCCACATATATGGAGACATGTGATCTATGACAAAGCAAGCACTGTAGATTAGTGATAAAAATACATAAATAATTAATGGTGTCAGGTCAACTGGATAGCCGTGTACAAAAAGGTAAATCTGGAAACCTATCTTATAACATTCATAAAAATATATTCCAGAAAGAAGCTACCTTCCCCTCAAATTTATAGTGGTTAATAATGTACCTATGTGTCTTGTGTAACAGAACTGTTTCTTAGTGTTAAAGAAAAAAACCAAGGTGGTGGTGGGGGGTATAGTTCAAGTGGCAGAGCACATGCTTAACATTCACAAGATCCTGGGTTCAATCCCCAGTACCTCCTCCAAAAATAAATAAACCTAATTACCTCCCACTGAAAAATAATTAATTAAAAATCAAAAAAAAAAAAAGAAAAAATGTAGCTGGACAATAGTAGTAAAAGTAGTAAAAACAGGCCTTATTTAGGACTATTGCAATAGTGGAAAAGAAACCTCAGAACCACAGAACTGGCCTCCACTCTGAAAACACTGTGGACAAGTGGGGACTTAACAGCCAAGGCGCAGGGTCAGGGCCAGTGGATGGGAAGTTACTAAGATGAAACCTCAATGGCTGGAGGAGATTCTGGCTGACGGCAGGCTCGCATGAGCAGAGAAATTCAGTAAGACATTAAGGGTAATCAGATACCAGGGGTGGGGGTTTCTAGCTACAACTGGTGATGCAGGCCAGACAAGGATGAATGTCAAATTCAAGGCCTACAGGGCCTGGAGGAGCCTGACTGAAATTTAGTCCAAGAGAGAGTTTTGTCTAGAATTGTGACGCCAGTTAAACTGAGGTATAATTTTGGGACTCATCATTCAAAGTTTAAAGAGAAGCGCATTATTTGAAACGCAGACAGTGTGTGTTTTTAAAAGCCAAAATTTATTACAGACTTTCAAACTAGGACTGAAAAAGCCACTGAAGCATCCTATGGGTTTTAATTTCTAATACGATAAATATTAATCACTATATCCTGCATCGACAAAAAGTCCTTTTGAGTCCTCTACCCCTTCCCCCTTTAAAAGAGTAAAGCGTTCTTGAGATTAAAGGTAAGAAAAGCACCATGAACTATCCCCTGTTGTAACACGGCCATTTCTTGCCATAACCTACAAAGGAGCCACTGGGGCGGGTTTTAAGCACCTATTTAAGCCCCTGGCTGGGTCTAGGGAAGCTGGTTTTTGGTGACCTAAGGGACTATGACTACAGGTAGTTTTTTTCCTTTGTTCTTTTTCTTAGTTGTTTCTTTTCTCTATTCTTTTATCTTATTTTTATTTAGTTTGTTGGTTTGTATTGTCAGTATTGCCAGGGAGTGTAGCTAGCAAGTCACCGTGCCGCAGGGCCCCGCGGCTAGCTTTGCCGAGGGGGAGATTGGCAGTTACCAGCTCAAGACCACCAGCCAGGGCAGCCATGTCGGGGTGAAGCTGGCCCAACACATCCCGCGTGTGCCATGAGGGACCTGTGGTGAACATGCTTCAGGAGGAGGAACTCGGGCCTTCCATCGAGCCATCCCCTGACTCCAAAGGGCCCTGGCAGACTTCACTGATGTTATCCATGGGCTACAGGTGTGACCTACCTAGGACTCATGGATAAGCCAGAAGTGATGGCCACCTACCTGATCCTGGGCTACAACCCAAGGTGGAAGGCTCTACCATCGCCATGAGGCCCCTGCCTTGAGCTGATCCCCCCAACAACTGAAGTCCTTTCTCATCCCACAAGTTTAGCTGAAAGTCTGTGTGTATCCAAAGAGGCATCCTTTCAGCAAGCCTGCTACTTCCACCTTTGCTTTGTTCTGTAACCTAGAAAGTCAGTGGCCTGGGAAGGACCGGAAGTCAGAGTGCAAGACCAACAGCACAGCCAGCGTCCCAGACCCAGCCTGGAGCCAAGGACCACCACTTCCAGCACAGCCCCCCCGTGTGGCCCTGCAGCAATCACCCCCCCAACCCCAGGAACAGCAGCAGCGGTGGAGCCTCAGATGGAACCCACCCAGGGTGCATCCTTCCAAGGAAATCCCCTGCATGCTGGGAAGCCTGGTGGTGTGACTCCAGCCCTCCCTCTGGCAACAGCCAGGCTGGCAGGAGGCCCTCTGGGAGCTTCTTCAACTTCCTACTCAAGACAGCTTTGTTTCAGGTCAGCCAGAAAGATCTGCAATGCAGCCTGAAGCAAAGTGGAGCTGACTGAACATCCCATGACAAGCAGTGGGGACAAGAAAGTGGGGAAGTCAAGCTACACTCCCTGCACTTTCTACTGCACATGAAGACCATGAGTTCCGTGGAGCTGACAACACAGTGTGGGAGGTGGTCCAGGGGCTGGCTTCACACGGCTGCAAGTGGAGCAGTGCCAGAAGTGCACGCCACTGCAGGTGCACAGCTCGCCCCACCGAGGACTTCACCTGGTGGAGGGTGGAGGGGTGCGGGCCGTCCCAGCATTCTCTGGAGGGGATTCAAAATAAGAGGGTATCTGGGACCTCCATGGCACTCAAAGTCATCATAACCAAAATAACAGTCAGCTTAAAGGATGGCTTGAATCCACCTGGGAGACAAGAGGAAAGGCTGCCCTGGCTGCAGGCCAGCCCATCCACCGCACCCTGGGCGAAGCTTCAGAGCCTGGACTGTTGTCCTGGGGCACTTCTCCCCTCCCCTGCTCTCCTCCCTCTTCTCTTCCATGTTTGTGGAGGAGGGGAGATGGTTCTGTACAAACGAACATTTAATAGGAAGTGGTTATTGACTTGAATGTTTCTCGTTTACGTTTGTCTTAGAGACATACATCTGTCACTTCCTGGAGCAGCTTGCATAACCTGCTCACTGGAGAGTTCCGGAAGGGTTCTTGATTGAAAATTTCATGGCAGGTTTTTTTGCATGTCCTCTAGGCTAAGGTGCAAACCTTTTGGCACGAGATATCTTCCTGAATGTATCTAGCACAATGCCTGGCAATAAATAGCATTTCCCTCTTTTTCTCTGCAAGGAAAAGAACTGTAGGGAAATTTTGGCAGAGAGGGAGACAACTATGTACGCAGAGGAATGTTTTCTGGATGAGGCTGATCTGAAGGATTGAAGGCTAGGTTCCTTTATTCACTCTACAGATGCTGTCGCCTATCCAATGTATTTCACATACTGTTCTGGAATAAGAGTATCTTGGTGACCAAAAACAAACACATGTGTTTACAATCTGGGGACGCAGACAAATATTCATCAAATAATAAGCTATATATGCTTTTACACGGGAAGCAACCTAAATGTCCAGTAGGAAAATGGTGAAATAAATAATGGTGAAATAAAATGCTCTTTTGATTTAGTATTATATAGCCACTGAAGTTGTTTCAAATAACTGTAAAATAATTATAAGAACATTACGTATTTTAGAAGTAGGATATAAAAGCATACAGTATAACCCCCATTTCTAAAAACAAATGTACGTTTGCCTACGCACAGGAATTTTGATTACATCCACGCTGAGCGATGGCTCTCCCCAGTGATGCGTTTAGAAAGCACAGAGCATGTTCTCAGTACAGAGAGAACAATCCAGGAGGCAAGGAGACTTGTTTTTCTATTCTGAATTTGTAACTTGGAAAAGTACAGGCTTTTCATACTTTAAATGAGGAGCTCAGCTTCAACACGTGTTCTTTCTTTCTCTTTGGGTTGTTTCATTTTGGCTTGGATGGGGCAGGGACATAGGTGAAGGTTCCTGAGGACTCTCCTTGCTGAGCAGATGGGTATGATGCCGGGAAAGCCGGTACGCACGGGCTCCTGGAGGTGTATGGCATCAGGGCACTAATTTCCTCTCAGTGCCTGCCCAAGCAGGGCTCACCTTCCTGTCTGCTGTTTGGTTTTTGTCTGCTGTTTTTGAAGACAAAAGTTTGTGTCCAGAGGCAAAGTTCCAGAGATGCTTCCAGGGATGTTGATGGGAGTTTAATTTTCAAGTGAGTGCTCCTGGGCATCTAATTAAATTCTTGCCATTAATTAAAGTCTGGATGACTCTGGGTTAGTATCATCATTTCACAGCAGAAACTCTCATCTTCTATAACTAAATGTGTACTTTCATTTTTGTAGCTGTTAGATCAGACATCCATTTACATCAGATGCCAGTATACACCAGCATTAAGTGCCCACCCCCAACCCCCAGCCAAATTGTGGGATGATAAATTGGGAATAGTATTTTGATTAACTTTTTGTAAGGATGTAGGAATATTATTTTAACTTTAGCAGGAGACTGCTCAGTCTCCTTCACTGTCACCCCTTCTTTCCCTAATCCACCACAGGCATAGTTATTTGAGAATGAAGGTTTAGGAAGTAATGGTGTAGTCCTGCAGGGCAGACCTACTGCGCCACGAGTTTTGAACATGAATGATATAAAGGAAGAAGGCCCTTTCCCCCCTTGTTGTTTTTTTTTTTAATTATATAAACATGAGTCAGCCTCTTCATTGGCAATGTCATGTCATGAAGGATTAACAACCTGAGATTCAGGACACTCAGGTTCTGGCTAAGCTCTGTTCCCAAGAGTTTCCATGTGACAACATGTGATTTTAGCTTCAATTTCTTAAGCTGATCTTTCTGGTCCATCACACCTATGAAATATACTAAATCTACATTTCTGGTTTTTCTTCCCCAAATCTACATTTCTCATCAGTGTTACTTTATAGTTTTCCATTTTTTAAAAATAGCTTCTCTTTTTCCAATGTGATTAAGGAACAAGCCCAGGATTAAGTCTGAAGCACTCAGAAAACAGGATTTTTTTCCCCCTGTGGCTTACCAGCATTTTTAGTTTCTAGTATCTCAAATACCAATTGCAAACCACAGCTGGGAAAAAGAACATGATGAATTGAGTCTGGAATCAAATCGCTCCTTATTTTCACAGACACATGCATTTATCAAAAAGGGATATAACTTGCAACAACTCTGATAAGTTCCCAAGACTTAGTCCACACCAAGTATTTGTAACCGTCCCCTGTGCTGTCACTGACGTTCAGCTGGGTCTGTGTGTGTTGAATTTGGGGCAAAGAAGTCTACAAACTTGTGATGGGAGTAAAACTTCACACTCCTTAGTGAAAGTAAGCATGATGGCCAAGGTTAATTGACTCAATGCATCTTCTTTTTCCTTTCCGATAAACATTCCTAGGGAGAGAAACCCAGCTTCAATGTAAGATTCTTTGGGTGGCTGCTCAAGACTATGACTGAGTTCAAGAGGAATAAAGGAGATGAAATCCACATTTCAACTATAAACAAATACGTCACTGAAAAAATTCTATACTTGTAAATCTAAGTATATAATCATCATCACAGTAATCTGACATGCCAGGAAATATGGCATGAGTCACTTATGTATTTCTTTCTCTCTTGCCCCTTTTAAAAGATCTAGACTCCTAGGGGGAGGGTGCAGCTCAAGTGGTAGAGCGCATGCTCAGCACGCATGAGGTCCTGAGTTCAACCCCCAGTACCTCCTCCAAAAATAAATAAATAAGCTTAATTACCTCCCCCACCAAAAAATTAATAATTTTTTAAAAAAATCTAAAGCTCTTAAGTATATACACTTTAGGAAACACAAACAAAGGACTCCTACTGACATCAATGTGAAAATTTTAAATTGGAAAATTAGTTTTTTTCATTTTCTATTTATTCTGTTTTGCTAACATTAAAGAAGCCAAATATACAGAATTCTACATCTTAGATACTCATTTTTGAAAAAATCTGAATGTAAAAAACTTTATTTCTTTTATTATTAATCAACAGTAATCATAATTTGCCCATCTGTGCAGAACACACTTGCAGGAACTGTGGGGAAATGGAAAAGAAAAAATAAGTACTGTTCCTATGAGATGCTAAGTCCCTTGAAGGCAGGGAAAGGGTGATACTGTATCTACAGTCCATAGCACAGTGTGTCACACAGCAGGCACTTAAGAGGTGGTTGATTGAATAAATAAGTACTTTCCAACAGGCCTGAAGGCCAAATACAGGCACTCCCTAAAGTTCCACACCATATACACACTGATGCCGCCTGTACACTGACTTCCTTCCTGAGCATCCGCCCTCACCCCACCGCTAGTCCTAGCTCCCTTCCTGCTGAGGTCACAACCAGGCCTCGAGGGCCAGTGACTCCAGCTGTTGGAGATTTACGACCTGACGGCCCTATCTTGTCACCTTCTTTTCTCCCCTTAGACCGTGTACCCAAGCTGTGTGCGCACCTTTTATTCTGCCTTTCACTCCTCGTAGCTGTGTTAATTCTGCTTCAAGCAGCTCTCCTCTTCCCTCTTTCACAGATTTTTGTCCCTTTCCCTTAGTAAAAGAACTCTTCTTCTGCCCTCTGCCTCATTCACATTCACCTGGGAACCCACAATTCACTCTATAGCTTAGTATTCCCAGCACTGTAAGTCACACTCTGGAACAAGAATCAGGGCCACCCACCTCCAGAGATCTCACGAGTAAAAGTCCTTTAGGATCTCCAGAGTAATCATTCTTTCTCATTTCATTCTAAGTAAATTATTTTTTCTCAAACACCATCATTCAAGATAAAAAAAAATTTAAATACTATTATGACAGCCATAAAAAGGAATGAAGTATTGACACACACTAAAACTTGGATGACCTCGAAGACATTACGGCAAGTGAAAGAAGCCACTCATAAAAGTCAACATGTTACATGATTCCATCTTTGTGAAATGTCCAGTATAGGAAAATCTACACAGAAATGTAGCTTAGTGGTTGCTTAGGGCTGAAGGAGAGGGGTGGGGGGAATAGAAGGGTGATACCTAAAGGTTTCTTTCTGAGCTGAAAAAAATGTTCTAAATTTGACTAGTGGCGGGAGGGTACAGCTTGGTGGCAGAGCCCATGCTTAGCATGCAAGAGGTCCTGGGTTCAATCCCCAGTCCCTCCAGTAAATAAAATAAGTAAATCTAATTACCCCTCCCCCCGAAACAACATCAACAAAAAACCAAAATAAATAAATAAAATATTTGAAAAAAATAAATAAATTTGACTGTGGTGATGGTTGTACATACATGTGAGTATATGAAAACCACTAAATTATACACTTTAAACACACAAAGTGTACCACATGTAAACTGTATCCCAATAAAGCTGTTTAAAATTTTTTCTTTTATACATACACAATTTTATATTATGTATATAAATGCACAGATGCATATGTATTTATACACACACACACATAAAATGAAGAAAAAATAAAATAAATAAAATAAAAACCCTGTACCTTTCTCTTGCTTAATAAAATTTTACCAGTACCTTTGAAGCTGTCTACATGGCTCTTCCCAACATAACCCTTTACCTCTTCAGACAGGAAAATCATTAATCTGAAGGTTAAAACATTTATTACTCTTGACTTTCATTATAGTTTTACTACGTATGTATGCACCTCTAAGTAATACATTGTTTAACTTTGTAAGATTTGAAACTTTCCATAAATGTACTTGCTATATATACTTCTGTAACTTGTGTTTTTCATTCAACACTGTATTTTTGAGAGATACTAAAGCCTACTTCAAGGAGAATTCTTGAGAGTTAATGAATATAAAGCACTTACAGCAGTGGCTCACTCATTACAGGTGTTCCCTATTATACGTATATATAGTTATATTTATTATATACATATAATATTATAGCAATTGCTCCTTTCTCTGTGAATGTGTGTTATTTCATCAACTGCATTATGCATTAATAGTTTTCAAACTATAGTACTATCTGAGTTGCACAGACCTTTGGGAAATTCTAGATATTTGAAGTTTCTGGATAGCTAAGATTTAAACTGTTAATGTATCAATTTGTTTCTAAACACATTTTAGAATTTGAACAACCCCAAAGAATGAGCTTTATAAAAAAATTTCAATCATTTCCAAATTCCTTTCTAAACTTGTTTATGAACATACATGAGACAGTTTTAATCAGACTGTGCCAAACTGTTTCGTGTTTTTTAAAAATACTCCTTCATTTATATACTTCCATGTATTGACCCAGCCCACATAGTTGCTATTTTTAATGTTTCTGTATGCTTTCTGGATTTCCATACCAGTCACATACAAGTACAGCCAAGGAGGGAGGAAATGAAGCAATCTGGCTCTAAGCCCTTACCACGACTTCTGGGTTCCTGAGTCCTTGCTTAGGGTGGATCATCTATTCTTCTAGAATGATTAATTTTTTCCACTGAAGCTGCTGGTGCCAGTTTCCACTCTGCATGCGATCACAGGGCAGTTTTAATCTTGTACGCCAACATCAGTCCATTTGTGGTGGCTGCCTGGAGCTCTGTGCTGGAAAGAACTGTGAGGTCAAGTTTAGGCTCAGCAAAAGGGAGGCCTCTGATTTATTACCAGTGTCTGCAATAGCTACATTTCTAAGCACTGCATTCCCTGCTGCTCCCACTCGTAATGAGATGATGTTAAATGGCTCCAGAGTGGTGCCAGAGTTCCAATGCCCAGGACCTGGTCACACGGTTGACTTCCCAGTCTGAGAGCTCTCTCTTCACCAACGCTGCTTACATCTGATTAAGATATATTTGCAAGCACAGATATTTATAGTTACTGTATTTGTGTTTCGGATTTGCACATGACCCATACACAAAAAATTAATTTACTTAGAAGAATATCTAAACATTTTCAGGAGCGATAATTAAATTCCCCATTTCTATTATTTCTAATTTGATCGCATTATGGCTCAGAAATGTGTAAAATGTTTACTTTTTACTAAGTATATCTTCTTATTTTCAGAATATGACCAAAGGTTAATTTATTTCTTTGCAAAGCTGTTGGCTCAGTTTTTCAAAAAATTCATTTTGTTACCACATTTTTTGGCTTTTTACATACAGATCAGTTATGTTTTCATTGTTTTGGGTGCTTTTTAAAAAAAATTATTCTGGTCTTTCATTCTCTCTTAGACTTTCCCTCTAGACTCTATGATCTAATACCTGTTTTGTCAGTTAAGATTGCTTTCAGTTCTAGATACCGGAACACCTGACAGATAATAGTCTGACCAAGCAAGGGTAGGGCAGGATGTGAATATGAGGTTAGGCTACGTGAGGCTGCAGAAGTAGGCGGGCGCCAGGTTATCTGAGCTTTTATTCAACTGCATGAGAAGCCAGTGACAGGGTTTAAGTGAGGAGGGAGGAGCACAATATATCATGTTTTTCATGTTTTCAAGCAATCACAGTGGATGAGGTGCAGAATGGACAGTGGGAGGGTAAGGGAGGAAGCAAGGAGATGATCAGGAGCTGTCTTTGGCAGCAGACCAGTAAGAGAGGAAGGTGGCTGAAGTTGGTTGCAGAAATGAAGGCACCGAGAAGAGGTTGCCATCAGGATGCATATTGTAGGCAGAGCCAACAGGACTTGCTGTGGGATTGCATGTGGGCTGGGAAGGGAAGAAAAGCCAAGGGTGACTCCCGTGAGTGCTCCCTTCAGGGAAGGGGATCCAGGCCTGGGGGTGATCAGCAGATAGACTGATTCAAAGTTGGGAGTGGGGAGGAGGGATAGTATAGTTCAAGTTGTAGAGTGCATGCTTAGCATACACAAGGTCCTGGGTTCAATCCCCAGTATCTCCTCCAAAAATAAATAAGTAAACTTAATTACTTACCCCCCAAATAAAAGTTTTAAAATAAAATAAATATGAAAAGTTTTTTTATAACAAAATTAGTTTTTTTTAATTAAAAAAAAAAGCTGAGAGACTGTGAGATCACTCTGAGAAGAGAGGGCATGCAGGAAAGAGAAGGCGGCTGAGCATTGTGAGAAGCGAAGGAGGAGGAGGAAGATGGAGTTAAGGTGGGAAGGATTTCGGGTGGAGGCAGTCTCCAAAATTCAGAGGAAAATATTTCAAGGAGGAAGTGCTCAATTTTATCATCTGTGTCAAGTGCAGCTGAAAGACTGAGTGAGATAAGAATAAAATCTTAACCCTGAATTTAGCAAAACTGAAATCATTAGTGACCTGGATACAAGCCATTGCAGTGAAGGGGCATGGAGGAAAGCTAGAATGGAATGGGTTCAGGAGAGAGCGTGAAGAGAGGCAGCCTGAATAGAGTGGAGAAATAGAATGGTAAGTGGAGAGGAATTTGAGGTCAAAAAGTTCTGTTTGTTTAATGCACAACATTAGAGCATGTTTATATCCTGATACTGGCAAGCGGTCATTACACTCACAGGACTCCAGAACTCTGCGTCATAGCTTGAAATGACCGTTCAGTCCCCAGTTTACTCTAAAGTTAAAGTTACAACTTTCATTTCTGAAACCTTTAAAATAAATGGGATCTTTCCCACCTATTTCATAAAACAGTCATCTCCCACAGAACATATCCCTGATTAATGTTTCCCCAGAAGAACACGTGTTGTTAATATCTAAACAGTATAACAGCTATTTATCTCTCAATACATTTTTCAGATGGTATCTACGTTGATAAAGTTTATGCTAAATCTTCAAAAAAAATAACATTTTAAACTAAATGGTTTCCTGGAGAAGTTCCATGTCCTTTCCAAATACAATAGGTGGACCTTCAATCACATTAGACACTTTACAAAGCTTTGAAGTGTTGACAAAGGAGATGTGATTATGTGATGTTGCTGGTCTGAGAGAGGTCACTGCCAGTCCACACAGTAACTGTATGTTAACAACCATACTAAATGTGAAGTGACCAAGAGCAATGTTTTAAGCATTTTACCTCCTACCATGGTATTTATAACTTTTATCTCCGTGTCCTTTTGGGACTTAGGAAATTGATAGGGTTTTTCAATTGACATGCTGTGTCTTATAATTTTTTCTGTTTAAAATAATGGGAAACACAGTCTCTTCAGAGTTTTTCTAGGAGAAAGTCTGACATTTTCAGAAAAAGATTACTGAGTTATTAATGGCAGATAATTTCTCAGTCTTGTTTTACTCTTAAAATTTTACTTACCTAGGAAATTACTTAACGTTGTTTCTTCCAAATCATGTAGTAAAATTAATGCTCCTTATAAATGTACCATAGATATTCTGCTGTTTTGCATCCTCCCTGCACAGAACTGGGGTTGTGCATGGTCCAGTCCGAAAAGCATGTACAATAAAGCAGTCTTCACATTAATGAGGAAACCTAAGTGGAAAAATGACTTAAGATAATTAATATCAATTTAACTCCCAACAGAAACAAATTATTAAAAGTGGTTCTGAAGGGATATTCAACAAGGGATTTTTAAAGTGGTTCCAAAGGAGAAATGCAGAAATTGTATATTATCTTTCTACATAAACTCTCCTAATGTTTTGGGAAGGCCAATGGGAACATTTGGTCCTACTGGCCTGTGTTAAGGCCAAGAGGGCCACAAAAGGATAACAAAGTCCTGTGAATCATGTAACTGAGCAGGACCCTACTGTCATCAGTGACCATCTGACATCTGTAATGTTTGTAACTCCTTTACTGCCTAATGGTTTAAAGGGTATTTCTCATGCTCTTGCTGACCAGCGATAGGCTAGAAGGGAGAGAGGCCTGGGTGGTCTGGCCAACCCCCTTGTGGTGCTGTGTGCAGGGATCATGCTCAGTGCCCTGCTTTTGCCCCCAGTGCCCTGCTCCTGTCCCTAGTGTCCTCCTCTTCACTGCCTTTGGTTTCTTTATATCCTGTTATTTGAGCTCAGCCCTGCTTAAAAGGCTAAAAGCTTTTATCAACCTGACTTGAAACTGCACAGGTTTTTCTCTAGAGCTCTTTTCCACAGAACCCCTCCCTATACACCCTTGTTCTAGGCACTCTAACATTAGAAGTCCCAAAGCCAGAGGTGAACTTCATATCCAGCAGAGAAGGGGACCCCTACATCTGCAAAAACAAGCACAACTGAGCAATAATTTGTTACCCTGTATCCAGTCTCTCTGGAAACTGGCTACACCCCTTGAACTCTTGAACTTTTACTATAACCACCCCCTGCCTTCCCTCCCCAGCAGGCTCACAGTCTTAGAGGCATTAGCCCACTGGGACCTCCTTTGCCTGGCAAAGAAAGCAAGCTGCCTTTTCTACTTCACCCAAGACTTGGTCTTCAAATCTCAACTTGGTAAGTGGGGCCCAAAAGCCATGTTTTGGCAACAACCAGGCCTGGTCATACGCGGGAAGCAGCTGTGGGTGCGGTTCCCTAAAGTGCTTTAGGGAGTCACTTCCTATGCAGCCAAATTTCCTATCTGTATAATGCAGAATTCAGGCCTTTCCACTGTCGTGTTTTTCTCCTTTTTGTAACATGGCACTAACGGTCCCTCTAAGAGGTCTGATCGAAGTGTGGGCTCTGCCGCCAGCCGGGCCCAGAGGGATGCGGGAAAATGTGGCTTTCAAAAGGCAAATTCCAAGTTCCCAGGTACTGTTTTTCTATTTTAGGCAGTTAGTTTACTGTTTCAGATACTCACCAGGTGTCTTCCGTGCGTGCAACCTACAGACTCCCTTGCGCTGCTTTCCGTCTTAACCGGCGCGCCGGCCACACTGGGCGTGCCCACGGGGCTGAGAGACGGCGGAGTGGGAGGGGTGGGCCAAGCCGACTGAGGGGCCCGGGAGCTCCTAGAGAGCAGGGTACCCCAGGCCATCCTACGCAGGCAGCCAGAGGCGGGGGCCACTTACTGGTCCGCGAAAAACCCAGTCTCACCAGCATCTCTTGGAGGTGGACCTGTTTGCACGGTGAATTCGACTCTGTTCGCTGGCTGCTTTGGGCGTTCGTGGGCGGGAGACGGTTCGCGGAAGAAGTTCTTCTTTGCGCGGCAGGACCACCCTCGGCGCACACGGAGGGGCAGGGCGGAAGGCAGGGGCCCTCGCCGCGCACTCTGGGGGCTGTAGTCTCTTAGCGGCTCCCAGTTGGTGGCGTGCAGGGCTTCAGGACTACAATTCCCAGGATGCGCAGGGTGTGGGGGCGGTGCCCAGCCGCCTGCGCTCACAGAGGGGCAGGAGTGAGTGAGTGAGTGTGTGTGCGCGCGCTTGGTCGCCGCTGGAAGCGCGGCTGCCTAGTGGCTCGGTTCGTACCGCTACCTCAAGGGAGGTGAGTCGCAGGGAGGATAATGAGGGCGGCAGTAGGGAATTAGGATGGTGTAAAGGCTGCGACCTGCTGCCCCCGGCCTCCCCTGTGCAACTCACTTTTACCCAAAATCAAGACCAGACTCGCTTTCCACCCTCCTCTCCCTTACTCTGCAGCTTCATTCATTCTCGTGTGTGTGTGTGTGTGTGTGTGTGTGTGTGTGTGTGTGTGTGTGCGTGCGTGCGTGTGTGCGCGCGCGCGCGCCTGCCTAGTCCAGGCCCAGGAAACTAATTTTTATTTTCCAAAATGTTTAGGGGAACTGATTTGATATCTGAGAAACTTTACATTTTGTTTGCTGCCCTCTTCTCCACCCAAAGTGCGCCCTTTTGGGGAGATATTCATTGTAGGGTGAATTTTCATTTCAATAAATGAAAAAGACTTGCAATACCTTTTGACTTAAATGCTTTTAAAATTAATAAAGATGTTTTGTGAGATATTATTAAAAACCCCAATAAAACACCTCTTTCAAAGGTTAGACCTTTTCAGAGATCAAGGTGCTACTTCTCACTCCCTTGTTCTATTAGGAGCTGCAGTGACTCTTCTAGGTTATTCTAATTCTTTTGTGCCTTGAAATTCAAGGCAAAAAGGCCAGAAAAGCTACTGTAGTCCAGAGATTTGTATTTTTTAACTGGGAGATACTTGGGTATTAAAGAACTAACAATAAAAATGTTGGTTTACATTACATTTATAAAGAAATAATTTCAAAATATTTTCTCAATTTAAAGTAATAGTACTTCTGTTGCACTGAAGACTGGCATCTATAGGATTCTATCTTCTGGCATTTAGACAAGTTTTGGATATATATTTTGAGTAATAGATTCATAATGTTCCATTTAATTAGAAGCAAACATTTACTCAAGATGAAAATAACACAAACAGTATGATTTCTAATTACCTTGTTAAAATGAGTCAGTTTGGCAACTTGTATGACAACAGACATATACTGGTATCTGAAAATAACATGACTAAGTATGCCTAAGGCAGTTTAATATAATTATTTACTTACAAAGTTTTTTCTTTTAGAATATCACATTTTATTCACATTTTTTTAACTCATTGAACTTCCATTAACCACATTATTTATTACTCTAAGTCAGTGTCATATGCAGTTTTTGGAGTTTTGTACATGAGGCTTACTTACTACACTGGATAAGAAGCATTCTATTTCAGATACAGAATTCCTAACAACCTGAATTTGATAGGTGGCTGAAATGTAAGGAAAAGCAATGCAAGAAGACAGTATGTAAATTCTGAGGTGGATTTTGAAGAACAAACCTGTTTATCTTTTTGGTTCCTTTTGTAAAATTTGTATTTATTCAGTTTTTTAAAGACTAAACTCATACTTTTGCCATTTTTTAATATTCATCTAGTTTGAGATAATGTGTTTTTAAATTTTTCATTTCCTACCAGTGATTACTATAATGTATAGTAACAATGTACTGAGTCCATTTAATAAAAATAAATAAAAATCATTTTGAAGATCTTGAAATTAAATGTATGATAAAATGCAATAAATGTTTTATATATCTCTCAAAAATTAATTTGTGTTCTTAAAGCATTCTAAAATTTTTTTAAAGTGTTGTAAATCCAGGTGGCTTTTAACAAGTGTAAATGCCTATTTTGTTATATGCTGCATTTTTATTTTTAATTATGAATTATGACATTTTCACATAATAAAAATAATTTATATCAGAAAAAATCCTCATACTCTAAAAGACAGTTTAAAAATATTTTATTGAAGTATAGTCAGTTTACAATGTTTTGTGAATTTCTGGTGTACAGCACAATGCTTCTATCATATAGGAACATACATACATTCGTTTTCATATTCTTTCTAATTGTAAGTTATTACAAGAAGTTGAATATAGTTCCCAGTATGAACTTGTTGTTTATAAGAGACAGTTGTTTTGATACAGCATAGCACCAGGATAAACAATGTGGGGATATTCAACTCTACTATATTTCCTTAAAAATTAGTGAAAGGAACAGGACATAAAATACGGGCATACCTCCTTTCATTGTGCTTCACTTTACTGTGCTTTGCAGATACTGTGTGTGTGTGTGTGTGTGTGTGTGTGTGTGTGTGTGTGTGTGTGTTTACTGGGGGAAAAATGTATTTCAGTTAATTGGGAAGCTTTGTCAGAACGCTACCCATGAGGAGAAGAGACAATAGCTGCCATTATTCCTGTTGGTTTGCTTTGGAATCCGCTTTGTGTGCAGTCAGCGAACTCTCTCGGCCACCGCTGTCGCGCTGTCCACAGGCTCCTCTGACCGTGGCATGGAGGAGGAAACAATGCTTTGCGCTCTCCTTCCCCTCGGTGTTGACACTTTCCTGCGGCCCGGGCGGCGGTGGCGACCGCGGGCTGTTTGCTGGCTCCTTGGGGCAGTCATTGCTCTCCAGAGAGCCTCCTCTTGGCATCTTCTCCTCTTTGAGATGTTGCTGCTCAAGTCCTGGGGATCAGGGGGGCTGGCGGGGTCCCCAGAGCTCTGCGGCTCAGGTGGGGGCGGGAGAGCGGCACGGGCGCCTTCCGGGGCTCTGAGTGGTGGTGGTGGTGGTCGTGCTCCTTCTTGAGGGATGAGGAGGCGCTGCCGCTGCGCCCCTTCGCGCTGCTCTTCTTACGTTACCCCCCAGGGCTCTTTCAGGTCTTCAGTCCCTGCCAGCTCTTCTCGCCGAGGGTGGACACCAGCAGGGGCCTCACCACCTCCTTCACCTCTATGCAGACCCTCTCCTGGGTCTTGCACTTCTTGATGGGGAGCACGGCCTCCTGCACGGACCGGATAGAAGCCTTTTCACGGCTTTCTTCTTGGCCTCGGCGGTAGAGACCTCCACCACACTGCCCGGCTCTCGCCCCGCATCTTGGGAATGGCCTGCGGGTCGGCCTTGGCTTTTCGCTTCCTGCCAGGGTGTTTAATGACCACGACCTGGGCCGATGTGGTGGCCCCACCCCCTTCAGCCTTGTTTCGGGTGAAGTTTGAAAAAGGCATCCTGACTAGCAGCTTCCAGGGACGCTTCTCCAGGACCCTCTTCACCTGCACGCCCTCTGATGCTGCTGCCTTGGGGTCTTGTGCCGCTCCCTTTGGGGCGTCCCCGACCTTTGCCAGTTCCTGGAGCTTTTTGGAGTACATAATCAACTCCACTTTGGAGCGAAAGGCTTTTCCCTGAGGACTGATCAAATACACATCATACTTCCCAGCGGAGCAGCCAGATTCCCTTTGCTTAAGCTTTCAGGTCCAACCTTCAGGCAGAGCGCGGTGGTCGTACACGGGTCCCCAGTCACGAATGAAGGAGCGCCACTGTTTGGGGGAGGCAGAAGCTTGAGGGATGGTTGGCGCTGAGCCCAATGCTTCCGCGGTCTCTGCATGCCTCTGCTGCTCGCAGAGTGGTGGGCCCGTGGCTGCAGGAGCCCATGCTTGCCCTCTTTGTCTTCTTTCTCCACCTTTTGAAACTTTGAAGGTTTGTCCTTGAGGCCCTGGAGATCCTGTTCTTCTGACTTCTCTCCCCTGAGCCCTAACATTCCAGCTACCATGGAAACTTGTTAGAGCTGGTCTACAAAAGCAAGATGTATTCTGGGGAGTCACATGTCACATCAAAGCAGGAACTGGTGAGTCTGCATTTTTATGGAGCCCGAAAAGAGGTGAGGGGACAGTGGTGACAACGGCAGTGTGACTGAAGAGGGCTGGTACAGAGGTGGTGAGGACAAGTTTCCTCCATTGGAGCGGCAATAATGCTTTACTCAAGAAAGGTCCTGTGGCCACACTAGGCAGGTCTGCAATGCATGTCACTAGAGCAGACTGTGGGGACAACAAACAGGTGTCCCATCACACTCCCTGGACCCGCCAGTCTAGGACTATGCTTTACCCCCTTGCGCTTAAAACACTAGTTACTACAAATATCAAACATTTTCTGTGATTCTCATCTTCTCTTAGATAACTCTGGCAGCCTGGCGACAAACTGCTCTAAGCCAATTAAAAGATTTCCACTGATACTCACTTGTATAAAAGATTATGGTAAGAAAATAAAAGCAAATGTTTCCTAGGCTCTCTGGGATTTTTAAGTCAAAGTCCTAAAAAAGCCCATAAATAAGCCTATTTTCCCTAACTTCCTGGTGGAAATTCAGGAAAGACCTGAAAACTCCAGATCTTGGGTTTTTTTTTTTCAAATAAGTATCCAGCATTTTCAAAAGACCCAAGAGGAATGCTTAATCTCGTTAACTGAAATCACTGAGATGCAGATGAAAATTCCAGCCTTGAAACCCAAATTTCTCCTCTAGAGTAACTGCTTATTAACAATGAATTTTACTACCAAGGCTCGAGAATGTTTCGCTTTTGTAGCATAACAAAATGCACCAAACTCGTCAGAGTCCTACAAAGTCTAAGCCACTTAGCCTCACAGGCCAGTAGGTTTGGTTCCATAATCACTAACCACCCCAGATCTGATCCTACCATCTCACAATTTGGGGCACTGATTCTGCACAGCAGAGACACAACATGTGAATGGCTCTGCAGAGCCTTTCCTGTTCCTCGAAAAATAAGCAGAAGCACACATCTGCCTGACCGTGGGTCAGGAATATCAATTTTGTGGTGGAGCCCATTTCTGCTGGGACCAATCCGCACACACAACAGAAGCAATGGCCACAGAGGTATATTCCAGACTAAACTTTCACCCCCGTGGATTCCCGCTTAGCATAAATGGTCTCCTCTGTAAGAGTAATCTCTAGA